TAGAATTCTTCTATTTCATCCTCACTGGCTTCAGTAGTTGGTGCATAAATTTGAATAATAGTGGTATTAACTGTTCTTCCCTGTGGGCGCATGAATATTATCCTATCACTGACAGCTTTGTACCTCATGACTGATCTGGATATGTTCTTTTTGACGATGAATGCAACACCATTCCTCTTCAATTTGTCATTCCCGGTGTAGTAAACCATGTGGTTTTCAGATTCAAAATTGCCAATACCAATCCATTGCAGCTCACTAATGCCTAAGTTATCGATGTTTATGCATTCCTTTTCATTTTTGACAACTTCCAATTTTCTCAGATTCATACTTCGTACATTCCATGTTCCGATTTTCACTGGAAGTTTACAGCTGTTTCTCTTCATTTTGAGTTGTGCCCCATCAGCAAATGAAGGTACCACGAGCTTTACTCCATTCGCTTTATCATGGTCAACTCTACTTTGAGGAGGCAGCTCTTCCTCAGTTGCATTTTGAGTGCCTTCCAACTTGAGGAGCTCATTTTTCAGCACTGTATCTGCCAGTATTTCTCTGCTATTCTTAAGGGTTTCAGTGACTAAAGGTTCGGAAGTAGTTCATCACTCTTCCTAGTCTGTCTTTTTCTGGAAGCTCATCTGAAACTGTCCACTATGGGTGACCCTGCTGGTATTTAAAATACTGGTGGCTTAGCTTTCAGAAATCATAGCAACTCACAAGCCACCACAGTCTGACAAACTGAAGACAAGTGGTGGCTGTTTGCTTTTAAGCGGAGACTGTCACTTTAAATTTCAAGGAGATCTGTGTGCATGAATAGAACACTCCTGGGGTGGGGGTGGGGGTGGGGTATCCATTCACTCAGGCATCCCCTCTTGTCACCAGAATGGAGGTGCACAGATAGCAAGAGACCAATGAACAGATACCAAAAAATGAATGTTCACATCTGTATCTCCGCAATTCTGTCAGGCATTCATTGCTGTTCTGCTTCTTCCCCTACTTGGTCTCTCTGAAGATTGGAGAGACCATCTTTTATCTATCTACTAAGGAAGATTAAAAAAAAAATAGCAAAATGATTTTTGATAAAGGAAACGAGGGTAAATTGCTACAATTTGAGTAACTTGACTTATACTCATGGAGGTAGTAACTCTAAATACCAACAGAGAGAAAGGAGCCTTCACATCAAGTATCAGTGCTGTCCCATCTGTACACAGGGTAAATAGGATGGGCAACTTAGACATTGGCTGCCTAAAATGAGGGGTTGATAAAGGCACAATGTTACTGGCTTACAAGATTTCAAGGGGGGAGTTTAGTTTAATAGTGTGTTAGGGAAAAAAGAGTCCTCACTGAATAGTTTTCATCTTGTCTAGATGGATCTGGTGAAAAGTGATACAGATAAGATTCTTACGATTCAATAGTGAGTAATTGTTATCATGACTAATTACAACTGTCACAATTGTAAAGATAGAAGTTTTGTAACAAAAATGGGGGAGTAGTTAATTTTATAGTCTAGAAACAAAAAACCCTAGGACTGTCAAGGGAGAAGTGCACAGGCCGAATGCAGTACCTTATCCAGAGGAAGGAGACATACCAGAAATAGAGGCAGAGATGGAAACATGGAGAGATGGAACAGATAAGGACTCTAGATTCATGGGAAGAAAGGGACTAAGAGATAGTGGCCAGGAGGCAAACTTGCCTTTGGTGGTGTAAATTATTATATACGTCTGAGTGTTTTTGTTTTTGTTTTAAAGAGCTACAGTGAATAGAGAGAACTAACTGATGGTATGTATAGGGTATTGTAATCAGTGTAATGAAAAAAGGTGTACAATTTGTTGAATGTAAAACTGATGATTTGCCCTGTAAACTTTCACTTTGTTGTTAAGTGCCATGGAGTCGGTTCCGACCCATAGCGACCCAGTACAGGGTTTCCAAGGGGTGTAAATCTTTACGGGAGTAGAAAGCCTCATCTTTCTCCCGCGGAGCGGCTGGTAGTTTCGAACCGCTGACCTTAAGGTTCACAGCCCGATTCGTAACCACTATGCTACTTTCACTTATTCCACAATAAAAACTTAAAAAAAAAAAAAGAAACCAAACATATAGAAACTAGAAAAAAAATATACAATGACTATAAAGAATCAGCTGGCCCCACCTCACACTGGCACGTCTCCTAACCATGTAACAACGCTGAACAGCCAGAGAGGAATATCTTTGCTGATGTCAGTTGGATCTTGGCTCAATTCAGGGAATACCAGAGAGATGTTGGAGAAGAATATTGAAAGTACCATGGACTGCTAGAAGAACAAACAAATCTATGTTGAAAGAATTCTCTGTAGAAACCAGAATGGCAAGACTTCATCTCTCATGCTTCAAACATATTATCAGGAGGGACCAGTCGCTGGAGAAGAATACCATGTTTAGTAAGAGGATGACTCCTGCTGCATCCTACAGGTGGCTTTACTATGTGACCTGCACAGAGAGATTAAACCCGAGTAGGGGCGACTGGAGATTAAAATAAAAGAAAGACACAAGACACATTTGAAATAAGTAAAGTTGGGACCAGGTGGGACACAGCACTCTGATGAAGATACTGTGGCTCTGACCTAGGTTCAGCACATTTATTATATATCAAAGGAAAGAGCTGCATGCAGGGAGAAGACTGCAAAAAACTTTTGGTGATATTGATGCATGCAGTAAGCAGGACTTTTATCAGAAGAGTGTAATTTGTGGTTATTAAGGAGACAGAGATAGGGCAAGATGTTTTTGTATACTTGAACTGAAGGTCATACAAGGGATAAACCTTGCAAGTTCTCTGACCCCTGAAGCAGCCCTGCAAGTTCTTCAGACGGGAAAGATGATTTTCTGAACCACAACTGTTTAGTTGCAATCCTTCAGTTAAATGGCCCCCAAATCTGAGGCCTTCAGCTCAAGTTGCTTCCAACAGACTCCCAGAGAGATGGATTGGCAAAGTGGCACCATCAGTGGGCTCAAGCATGGCAACAGTTGTGAGGTTAGCCCAGGACTGGGGTTGGTTTTGTTCTTTGTGCATAGCGTCGGTATGAGTTGGTACCAACTCGATGGCACCTAAAAACAACAACAGTTTTTGGTTGGTCAAGAGTTTTTATTCAGTATAAGTGTTAAAATTTGTCAAATTAATTTTCAGCATCAATTGAAATTATTTTCTTCTCCTTGTTAATTACGTTTATAGATTTTTTAACGTAATAAAAATTTTAATTATAAAGCATAATTTTTGTCTAGAATGATATAAAACAAAAACACTTTTTAAGGTGGTGGATTCTTTTTTTATAGGCACCTGTCTTCAAAGGACACGGAGATGACATGTTAGAACACTCAGTAGTTGATTCAAGGTAAGACTGGTATGTCAGAAGAGACATTTTTTCTTGACTATAAATAATTATTAAAACAATATTCTCAGGATTAGGAATTTTTATTTTATCGCTTGCTTTTCCTTAGTTTGTCATTGAGTTGACAAGGAAAAAGCAAATATTGTAATCTTAATAATAGCTCTCGATTTGCAATTTGTTTCACGTGCTATATACTTAAAAGATTAGATGAGACAGATTGTCATGATTTTAATTCTATATTTTTTCTTTAGCTTATTAACTCCACTTATTACTGAATATGATAAGCATCTGGAAGAGCTAAGTGGTCAGCTGAAGTATTATCAGGTATGAAATCATGGTTATGAAACTTCTTTACATGATATTATAAGAGAAAAAAATTAAAATAGTCTTCATTTTATTTTTTAAAAGTTTTTATTGTGAATTGAGTGTAAGTTTACAGGGCAGATTATCAGTTTTACATTCAATAAATTATATTTTGTTTCTTTGCAAAGATTACAATCCCCTACATGTACCATCAGTCAACAGTATTTACCTCTATTCCCTTTAAAAAATAGTTTTTTTATGTACACATACAAAACAGAAAATATATGTTTGTTTAAATGTCCAAAGGACATACTTTGCAAGCCAGCTAGCTTCATGTCTGCAGGCACACAGCCTATCTCAGTCCGTGGGCCTAGAGTCTAGAGTCCTCAGTTGCTCATCTCTGTATACCATTGCCTCTGTCACTGTGTCTGCTGTTGCCACTTTCCTGGTTATGATCCCACGCTCCACTCATGTTCTTTCCTTTTGCTGGTCCTAGGAAGATTAACCTGCAATGAAAGCTTAAGTACTCCTCCCTTTTAGCTACGCATCTTTTACATTTACAGTTGTAACAATCACAATTAGTCCTGATAACAGTTAGACACAGTTGAATTGTAAAATCCTATCCCTATCCTCCTACTTCCTTTTTTTTTTAAAAAAAAAAAAAAACTTTGAAGAGGAAAAAAATATTTAACTATAAGTAATCTGTTCACAGGGCACTAGTGTGGTACAGTAGGATAAGCACTGGACTGCTAAACTGTAATCAGTTCTTGGCACGCTGTAAGTATGCTTGTGTTTTAGACAGTATGGTGAAGACCTCTGCTGGCTCACAAGGTTGGGAGTGGGGAGGCATATCCAAATTCTGCAAGTTAGAAGTAGGCCAGAGATTTATGCAAGCCTGTGTCCCATGATGTGGCGGTAAGACAACAAGAAGAATTCAGGGTAAAGAGAGAAAGAAAGAGACAGCTCGAGCTCTGCCAAAATATCCATTTAAATTCTGGAGGCAAACTACTCCTACCCTGGAAATTCACCTTTCACCTGATTGATCACATTAGATCACATCATGAAAGTTGAATAGATTATAGTAGCCCGCCCAGTATCTGTGCAACCCACTGAGAATCATAACCTAGAGAATTTGACTCACAAATTATTCATCACAGTGTGTAGCTGTATAAATTCCTACCTTTTGATAGTCCGTACAAGCATCTCTTAATCTTATTATTACTTGTATACACGTATCAACAGCTGGGAGGATGGCGCAGGACCAAGTGATATTTTGTTCTGTCGTACATAGGGCAGCTATCAGTCACAACTGACATGATGGCAAACAACACCTCACCTCTAGGAAGACCTACAACCACATCACATCCTATTAGGCCTTTCTCCTATTTTATTTGTATTTCCCATTATTTGCAGAACTTTTTTCTCCCTACTTTCAAATGTTATATTTGTCAGATTTTAGATACTGTCGTTCTACTAGCAAAACAGGTTGTTGTTGTGAAGTGCTGTTGAGTCGATTCTGACCAATAGCAACCCTGTATAGGGTTTCCATGGAGCAGCTGGTGAGCTTGAACCACTGACCTTGCAGTTCAAATGACTTTGCAGTCTGGCACATTAGCCCACAGTGCCACACCAGGGCTCCCAGTAAAACAGGTGGCTGGTGGTGGCTGTGTGCCGTGGAGTCAGTTCCGACTCACAGCGTCTCTGTACAGGGTTTCTGAGGCTGTCAATCTTTACGGGAGCAGAAAGCCTCATCTTTCTCCCGTGGAACAGCTGGTAGTTTCAAACTGCTGACCATGTGGTTTGCAGCCCTATTCGTAACCACTACACTACCAGAGCTCCTTAGTAAAATAGGTAGTCCCTGATGTATCATGGGATTCCTTTTTGACAACTTTCTCTTAATGCGGTTCTGATGTAATTTGAATACTTTTTTTCTTTTATTAGTTTTTGTTATTATTGCCTTTTGTTATCAGTATTTTTATAAATATAATTTTTGTCTTTGGCATTGTAAGTATTACAACTGTAATACTTATAAACGTGTAGATAATGAGGTGGTTGTTGCTAAGTGCTGTTGCGTTGTTTCCAACTCATAGCAACCCTGTATAGGGTTTCTGAGGAGCAGCTAGTGTGTTTAAACCTCTGACCTTGCAGTTAGTAGTATACTGTGTATCCTACAGTGCTACATTAGTTCTCAATAGATAACAATAACAACAGCAAATTAAGTGCTACAACATTGTGTTGTTGTTAGGTGTCTTCAAGTTGGTTCTCACTCTTAACCACCATAGGTACAACCAAACTGTCCTGCACTAGCCTCATAATTGTTAAATTTGAGGCCATTTGTTGTAGCCACTGTGTCATTCCATCTCTTTGAATACATATTACTAATGATCAGATGTACAGAAAAATCAAAGTCTTAGCGGTCATATGTGTGGTTCTTCATATGTTGAAATGTGTCATAAGTCAGGGTCTACTGTGTATAGGTTTAAGGTGTGGTAGCTGTCTTTCTGAAATCCTCTTAATAATGAAACTTTACTTTAAGAGAATAAAGAAACTGAGGATGCTGTGTATGTCAATAGGTTTTCATTCTGGATCCTGAGCTTTTCAGACAAGGATGTATAGGCTTGTAGAGAACTAGAATAATAACTCAGCATTGTTCAGGATACAACATGAGTTTCAGTGAACTCCTAGCATTTAAAATGTTATTTCTTTGATCTGAAAACATCTTTTAAATCTCCCTCTCCACATTTTAAGCCTTCTGATGATACTGGTGTTTCTTAAATAGAAGTTATATTTCTAAAGATAAGTCCTCCAGGAGGTAATGACCTCTTTCTTAGAGCTTGACTATACTCATAATTTTATTTGACTCAGATACCAATCCAGAGACCAGTTCCGTTATGGCAAGTGTACCATAATGACTCAATTTAATGCAAAAGGAAGAAAACATAGCAACTTTTTGTAAAAAAAAAAAAACAATTCTTTGAGACTAATTTCCTTAGAATTTCACTGTGGATATAAAGATACACATGAAGATACAAAGATCTTTATTTTTTTTCTTTACTATTCTTTTAATATATGGACAAGAAAGAGAAGCTTCTAAGTGTAGCCCTCAAACATTTGAAGAATGAGATTATGGAAATGGATTACTAGATCTAGCTCAACAAACTTCTGTTTAAAAATTAATGGAGGAGAGGACTTCCGGCGCTTCCCTGACCAGGCAGCTCAGGTAGGGCAGTCTTGGGGAAAAGGGGCGGAATCGCACATAGGAAACCTCTGTCTAGCAGACAGACAGCCGTTGAACAAACATAAGATCTTATATTTAAACATTCTGAACTCGTTTTTTTAAAAGACCAAATTGCTGAGGAATTACAGGCATTTGGAGCTTTTGCCTGCCTGCACGTGGCTCCCGCTTCTGCGCCGATGCCAGCGAGTGCCTCTGCCCCCTGCAGACCTTGGAATGCAGGGCTAGAGCAACCCCACTTAGAAGGCTGCATTTCCAAAGAAAAGGAAGCATAAACTAACAAAGTCAAACAAATAGAGAGGGATATCGGCGCGGATATCAGGAAATTCAGTACAGAGAGACTGAGAGAGGCATCTTTTATGTCATCAAATACAGATACTACCTCCCTGCAGCCATTATACCCAGCCCTCTACTGCCCTGGCCTAGACCAGCCCTCTGCCAAACCGCCGAGGCTCAGGAACGCCCAAGGCACAGGCCCACTGAGGCCAAGGCCCAGACACTCCCACTGAGGCCAAGGCCTGCCCTGAGGCCCAACCCGCCCACTGGCTGGTCACAAAGGCCCGGCCAACCAAGGCCCAAATCACCTAGCCAGGTCACGGAGGCCCAGGGCCCCTGAGGCCCAACCTGCCGCATAGCCCGGATGCCAAGGCACAGTGCCCCTGAGACTCAACCTGCACTTAGCACGGTCTCCGAGCCACAGGCCCCCCCGAGGCCCAATCCGCCCAACCCACCTGCTGAGGCCCAAGCCGCCCGATGCACAGCTGCTGATACCCAGGCCCCCTGAGGTTCAAACTGCCTGCCCGAGGCCCAAACCACCCGCCTGAGGACCAACCCTGCCTGGTCGCTGACACCCGGGCCCCCAGAGGCCCAAACTGCCCACCCTAGGCTCAACCCACCTGCCCGAGGCCCAAATGGCCCGCCACTGAGGCCCAGGCCCAACTGAGGCCCAAAAAAGTTACTCTGAGTTAAGCAATAAGGAGAGTGAAAAGGGAAGACTACAT